TATTTAATAATTATGTGTTTAATAAGAATTACAGTATTATCAGTTTATTAGTAACTAATTATTTGTAAATACTAAATTGTTTGTTTTATATGGCAATTCTTTATTTTATACTACTGAGAATATTTACATTCATTCATTACTCATTCGACAACTTTATATACATCATACTTATTCAATTTAACTATACCTCCATCATTAACTCAATATATAAAATAGAAATTCATTTGTTGTAACTTGGAGAATATAAAATAATGCCACTATCAAAAAGTTCAATTCATTTAACAGAAAAGTTACTTCAATGAAAACTAACTCGATAAGAAACATTTATTAATTTCATATCATTATTCATATTTATTAAGGTTGAGATGAATTAAAAATAACCTGTTTTGATTAAGTTTACAATCACCAATGTATTTACAACAAGTTATATTGTTCATAAGAAAAAATAACATATGATTATTTGAATGAAAACTTGTTATTTTGTGTGCTTATGATTATTCAACATTCAAAAGAATTAACACCAACAACTAACGTTCTAAAGTGTTTGAATAAAAATGATTAATTAATATGAGTATTGAATGGACAAATACTGTAAAAAGATGTCAAACAATGTTGATGCATTTCTGTTCATTTTTAAATTATTAAATGAAAGTTGAGTTATCTCCTGAGTTTATTGTTTTTATATTTATCATTTTAAAGTCAGTTATTAATAAAGATAATTCTTACAATTAATGACATAAGAAATATAACATAAATCATGTAAAAAGAATTTGATTAAATTCCAGTATATGTAGATTGTTTCTTTGGTTTAAATACAAAGAAATAAACAAGAACAGCAATGACAATAATGATGATAATCAAAACAATCAATAAACCCAAAACAATGGCAAATATTGCACCACCACTTAATCCATTATCATTATCAGCATTATTATTACTATCATCTGAATCGTTAGTCATTGAATTTGATTCACTATTCTGAGTTTCACTGGTTTCTGATGAAGTTTCAGTACTTTCATGGCTTGAACTAGTTTCAGAAGACTCAGAAATAGAAGAAGAATCATTTGACAAACTATTTTCACTATCATCATGTTCAGAAGAGTTATCTGATAAACTTTCGTCTGAAATACATTTAAACTCTTTACCTATTTGTGCAGTTTCACAATGACCATCTACCCCAACAGAATAGACACCATTGTTATTATTAATTTTCTTTCCATTCATACCAACAACAATAAGATCTTTTTCATCAACTAGAATTGATTCGATCAATGCATCTGTAGTTATTTTCCAAGTATTACTTTGGATAAATTGAACAGTTCCTTCAATTATTTGAGATGCATAAACAGTAGATTCCTTATTGACAACTCTTAAATTATAACTATGTGATTGTAAAGAAATTAATACATTTTCCGACTTATCATTTGCAGAATTAATTTTGATTGTAGATGCATTAGAATTAGAAACAATTGTTGGAACAGATGACCCATAGAGAGTGAAGACATCATTAATAGATATATCAATAGATATTTTTTCTTGATTATCAACACAATGTAGTTCAACATTAGATACACCTCCACAATAGAAGTATTTAATTTGATTGTTACATTCCAATTTATAAACATCACTTTGGTCTTCTATTGTAATATTATTACCAGTCATAACATAGTCGCAAGCATTAACAGTAAATGTAATTGGATTAACATTGAATAGTCCATTGAAAGTGATAGTGTTCAATTGACTTGTTGGACCATTTTTAATTACTTTAATATATTTAGAATCACCTTCATTGACAAATGTGGCTTTAAAATCAAGAATATGAAATATAATGTCTTGAATGTCATAACTATTAATTGTGTTATGTTCAAAAACACCATCTAAAGTAATGGTAGATAAACCATTAACAAAAGAATATTTCATATTTGAGAATGTTTTTGATTTCTTAATAATTACATTTTTAGGAGTGAATACAGTCTCATTAGTTCCAAAGAAAATATTTAAATCAACATCCTCTAAAATGATAGTTTCATATGGAACATTAGTGATTGTCATCTTACGATAGTCATAACTAATACCATTTACTTGTGGACATTCATTTGTTCCTGCATAAAATCTCCCAGTAGCATCATA